CTGTCTATGTGTCCTGAGCCATGCACCTGCTGGTGGCAGGGGTAGAAAGTTTTGTTAACAGAAATATATTTATCCTCCTCTCATATCCCCACAACGCCCTGCTGCAGCTCTGGTTTTGGTCCTGGGACACAGGACAAGTTTGGAAACACATCGATGGCCACGCTGGTGAGGTGGGGGAAGGTTTGTCCCCAAAATCTCTGTGCAGGCATGTACATGCACATGTGTCTCGACTGCAAGAGCTGCATCTGCACAGGGCCCAAAGCTAGGTGGGCTGAGAGGTGAGTGGGCCAGAGCAGGCATCCGACCAGTCTCTTCCTTCTTCACTAAGGCAGAAACCTGGCCCCAGTCTGAGGGACTTTCACCCATCATTCACAGTTCTGGGAATGGTGTGGCTTTCTGGGTGCCTGATACAGGTTTCCCAGTCTGGAAGCTCTGGGTGCATTTATTTCTTACACCCCTGTGCTCCATCTCTGAGAGGTGCTCCACCTCTGAGAAGACCAGTCACGAGTAGCCAGCCAGCAAGACCACCCGTTTGCACAAGCAGTTGCCACATCCTTTCCCAAGAAAGCCGGGCAGAAGCAGATCCTTTTCACCCTCTGCTCATCTCACACCCATGTTTTGCTGTTTCCCAGGCATGTTTCGAGCAGCGGTCCCCAGTGGTGCATCCACTGGTATCTACGAAGCGCTGGAGCTACGAGACAACGACAAGTCACGGTTCCTCGGAAAAGGTGGGGAGATGCCTGCTCTGCACCCCGTCCCAGGGGCTGCCTGTGCGTGGGGCTCTGCCAGAGGGTACTGCTCATCCATGGATGTGACGTGGATGTGTCCCACTCAAGCCCTCAGGGAGACCGCAGAGGCACAGACCTAGCGTAAAGTGATAGACCAGGCCTCGATATTCCCTCACTGTCTCCCTCTCTCAGTCTCTCTCTCAGTCCTCTCCCTGCCTCTCTCTGCTCTCCTCTTTGCCTCACCCTCTTTCTCTCTCTCTCTTTCTCTGTCTCTTCCCTTCTTTAGGGGTCCTGCAGGCCGTGGATCATATCAACAGCACTGTCGCCCCAGCTCTCGTGGGCTCTGTAAGGATTTGTCTTTGTTCTCCCTTGTCCAAAACTTACTCTGGTCCATTTCTGTCCCCTGGTCTCTGTTTCTGCCTCTCTTCATCTCGCTGGGTTAACAGACATAGCAGTGCTCTCTGTGAACCCAGGCACACCCCTCCTGCCCTCCATGCCTCTATGTGTCCACAGCAATCTTTGCTCTGGCCAGGAAGCGTGTATTGCTCCCTGGTCCACCGCAGCACCCATACCACCCCACCAGTCTCCTCGGTACTCCCTGTAGAGCGCTCTCCCTCTTGCAGATGTGCTCCTCCTCAAGCATTGAGTCTCACCCACATGTCTGTGGCTTCCCACCCATTTGTCCCACCCAGCACTCATGGTGTGATGAGTGATGACTGTACCTGTGCGAGGTCCAGCACTGCCCCCCTGGCTCAGCCTTGCAGAGTGGTGGTGTCACATCTGCAGCCTGTTGACACCTGAAGACCTGGAGCCTTCTCTGAGGAGAGCTGAGCTGAAGCCACATGTTACACCCTGTGCAGCCCATGATGGGTCTGGCGGAGAGCCCAGCTCTCTCCACCTCTGAAAAGCACCCAGCCTGGTGGAGGGCTGCCTGTGTTGGGCCTAATCCCGCTCTCCACCTCGCTCCTGGGGGACGGCTCCATACAGAATACACTTGCTTGCTTGGGGTTGAGCATGTACTGTTGTTCTGCCTAGCTTCTGTCTGGCCACAGCATCACAAAGCTCCCTGGAAGCTGCCAAAAGGTTGGATGAGTCCCCAAGGGAGTCCTGTGTCCTCAGGAATGTGTGGCCTTGCCTGGGCTGCTGCTGGTCCCCTCTCCAGCGTGGGTACATCTACACTGTGCTGCAGCAGCAGCATCGTGGTTACCTAACTCAACTATATACCGAAGCACTAATTTCCAGAGCTTTGTGTGTCTTATGTTCCCCCACGAGCTAAAAAGGTCCCTGTACCCCCAGCTTCTCCATCAACACCTCCTTTCTCACACACCACAGCCAACAGCTCTTCTCAGCCTCCCCTTCTCAGGAGCTGTTTCTTTCTTGCAGGGCCTCTCTGTTGTGGATCAAGAGAAGATTGACAATCTGATGCTGGAGATGGATGGCACTGAGAACAAATGTAAGTCATTCCTCTTTTTTTGGCCTGGGAAGTAAAGAGCATTGGAGGCTGCAGGGCTGGAGCTGGGGGCACTGGCAGAGCTGTGGTGGGCACCCGCTGGGCAGGAGGTTGCTGCAGGCAAACTTTGACTCCATGGTTTTGCCCACAGCCAAGTTTGGTGCCAATGCTATCCTGGGAGTTTCGTTGGCTGTGTGCAAGGCGGGAGCTGCAGAGAAGGATGTCCCCCTGTACCGGCACATCGCTGACCTAGCCGGCAACTCTGACCTCATCCTTCCTGTGCCAGTAAGACTCCTCCATCCTTGACATCCATCTTCAGAAACTCCAAAAGAAAGTTCACAGGGTGTGTTGGGAAGTAGAGAAGGAAGGGACGTAGGACTGAAACATCAGCTGAGTGCACTGCACTGGTCAAGGAAGCAAACCAAGACCTGAGACTGGTCAGGTTTCAATACAGAAAACAGGGGCCTGAGGAGGATACGGCAGAGGTTGTGGTGGGGGTTGACTGAGGATCTCGCTCTTAGCACAAGAACCAGGGGGCATCAGGTGAACCTTCCGGGTCAGCACAAGGGCATATGGGTCTTCACACCAGGGGTAGCTGCCCTGTGAAACTCCTTCACAAAGGGTGTTATGGATGCTACAAGCTTCTCTGAGTCAAGGAGAAAGGTCCTGGAAGAGAGATCAACATAGCATTGCCAGTTATCACATACAGATAAGCACATATAGCCTGGGAGATCTCTGAGAGGGAAACAGCTGGGAAAGTCCTCTCCAACCATGTGCTTTGAACTGCTGTTGTAAGGAAGACACCAGGCGGTACGCGCCTTTGGTCTGATGCATTGCAGCCGATGTGTTACGTTCCCCTGTGGGACGTGGCATGAATGGGCCTCCTTTAGGTGGTGCCAAGACCGGTTCCTTCAGCTCTGATTCTCTTACTGACTCTTCCAGGCTTTCAACGTGATCAATGGAGGTTCCCATGCAGGCAACAAACTGGCCATGCAGGAGTTCATGATCCTGCCTGTGGGAGCAGAAAGCTTCCGTGATGCCATGCGCATTGGGGCTGAAGTCTATCACAACCTCAAGAGCGTCATCAAGGAGAAGTATGGCAAAGATGCTACCAATGTGGGTGATGAGGGAGGTTTTGCCCCCAACATCCTGGAAAATAGTGAAGGTGAGAGCCCTGCAGAGATGGTGTAAAGCCCCTGCCTGCAATACCGTGGCTTCCTATACCCAGCTCACAGCATTCCCCAAAGATGGGTTCAAAATATGATGCCTCAGTGTCATTTGACCTCCTGTGTTAGGGAATCGTTTCTAAGCTCCTTCTCGGGGTGGCCTTGATCTGTTCACAGCCTCTCCATACAAACCTTTCATGCCTCTGCACACTTCTCCAAGGCCTTCCCCCAGCTTGTCACTAAGCGGTGGGATTGTATTTTAATTACTCATCATCCCTTTGGACATGGCCTCCACAGCTCTTTGGCATGGTTCTGTTGTGCTCTGGGCTCCCTTCTACCTCTCCCATCACATTGTCATACACTGAGTGACCCTCAGAACCCTCGCAAGGGAGGTTCCCACTGAAGGGCAGAGCTCTCTGCACGGGCTGACTGTCCTGACTGCAACTGTCCTCCTCCCAGCTCTGGAGCTCCTCAAGGAAGCTATCGAGAAGGCGGGCTATACAGACAAGATTGTCATTGGTATGGACGTGGCAGCCTCTGAGTTCTACCGTGATGGCAAATATGACCTGGACTTCAAGTCCCCAGATGACCCAAGCCGCTACATTTCCTCAGATGAGCTGGGTGACCTCTACCAAAGCTTTGTACGTGATTATCCAGGTGAGCTGCTGTGCTTGGCAGGAGGGAATCTGCACTGGCACGTACTTAACAGGTGCATCCCCTCTGTGTTTTTGGGGTGGGAAGGGAGGCAGCTTTGACTCATGTGTCTTCTGTTGTCCCTCCAGTGGTCTCCATCGAGGATCCCTTTGACCAAGATGACTGGGAAGCCTGGGCCAAGTTCACAGCCAATGTGGGGATTCAGATAGTGGGAGATGACCTGACAGTGACAAACCCCAAGCGCATCGAGCGAGCTGTGGAAGAGAAAGCCTGCAACTGCCTGCTGCTCAAAGTCAACCAGATTGGATCCGTCACAGAGGCCATCCAAGCGTGAGTTGAGTCTGCCCCTGCTGCCCTGCGAATGGGTTGGTGATTAACTGCAGCAGGGTATCACCACTGGATGAATAGACTTCTGTCTCCACTGGAGCGCAGGATGCTGAGGGTGGGAGGAGAGCGTGTCTGGATCTCACCCTGCGCAGGTGGTGGTTATAGGAGTGGGAGCTATTGATCACATTTCTCACTCCATGCAGCTGCAAGTTGGCCCAGGAGAACGGCTGGGGTGTGATGGTGAGTCACCGATCTGGGGAGACTGAAGACACCTTCATTGCTGATCTGGTTGTAGGACTGTGCACTGGGCAGGTAGGTGAGACCCAGGCCTGGAAGAAAGCGAAAGGGGTGTGAAGACAGAATCCCCTGCCCCACCATGGGAAACTGGTGAAAGTCCTAACAGTGTCTTACAGTGTTTCTTTTGGGGAATGCTTTACAGATAAAGACGGGTGCTCCCTGCAGGTCTGAACGCCTGGCTAAATACAACCAGCTCATGAGGTAAGGGGCTCCAGGAGAGAAAATAGGGGAGTGATTAATTGGGGTGGGAGAAGCTGAGAGCCCAAGGGTGAATGGGGCTTGTGGGGGAAACATTATGAAGACAAGGTGCAGAGGTGGCAATAGGATCATGGGGAGATCTCTGGAGCAGACTCCTTCCCTCCTCCTTGGTGTGAGGGTGCAGCCCCACAGGCACAGCAGTGGGCAGGCGCTGAGCTCCTCCAGCCCGTGCCAGCATCCTGGCTGATGCACTGCCTCTCCGGTGCCTCCGATGTTCCCTCACAGCAAGGGCCTGACGTCTGCTCTCTCTCTCTCTCCTGCAGGATTGAGGAAGAGCTTGGCGATGAAGCACGCTTTGCCGGACACAACTTTCGCAACCCAAGTGTTCTTTGAACATTGTCCCCAGGGCACAGCCACCCTGCTGCTCTTTCCCACCTCACAGACTCTGAAACCCCTTTCGCTCCACCACTCCCTTTTTTGCTCTTTCTCCCTCCTCCACCACCCGGTTCCCTCTCACCTCAAACCCCCTCGAGTTCAGATGTCCCCGGCTAGATGTACCAAGGTGAAGGATCAGAGAGAGGCCTACACCCTGTCCCTTGCTTTGGGGTCATAAGCATTTCTGGATCTAGGCATTGTGTGTCTCTTGGTTTTTTTGTGCAGGGCCACGTCTGAGCCACTCTGTTCACGTGTTAGACTGCAGGAGCATGCTGCCCGGTGTGTTTCCCTTGTACGCCGAAGCATGTGCAGTGAACGTCTGTGCGTCGGCTGGTGTGTTTGGACACGTGTCGCCCCTGTAGCTGTGTTCGGACGAGTGTCGCCAGTGGCTCACTCTCGTTGTGCATGTGTGTAGGTGTCTGTGTACTGGCCTACAGCATCCTTGTGCCCCAGGCGTGTGTTTGCGCTGAGCCCCGGTGGGACGCGAGTGTCCCCTCGACGCGAGTCCCACCCCGAGTGCTGTGCTGCGCTGCGCTGTGTTGGGCTGTGCTTGCCAGCAGCTTAGTGTTGACGTGCACTGCTGTCCCTCACTGGGTGTGCGTGCGTGTGTGTGTGCTGTCAGTCTCCGGGTCAGCACATAGTACTATGGGGTGATATATTAAAAACACATCCGTATCAAACCCACGCTCTCATTTGCTGCTCGTGACCTTTTTCTCTCTGTTCCCTTCCCTCTTGCTCTCCTTCACTGGCTCCTCTGCTCATAACGTCTGCTTCTCCTTCTGGACAGCCCATGCTCAGCTGAGCAACAGACAAACTACAGATCCCTAAATTCCATTAAAATGTATTTCACACCTGAGCTGCCGGCCTTGGCCTGATGTTTCTCTTCACACACCAGTGTTTGGGAAATGGGGATGTTTTGCCATCAAAGCAGGAGAGGCTCACACAGAAAGTTAACCAAAACAAGCAGAGGGGATTGGCAAGAGGAGGGAAAGGCCCAGGTACCCCCACCTCCTTCCACAGCCTTGTCCCATAGCCAGGCCACTCCGTCAGCCACCCAGCTGGGGAACGCGGAGGGGAAGGCAGGCGGGAGGGTGGGAATTGCCCCGCCATCTCCACCAAACCACATGGCATGAAGATCTGCTGCGCAGGGATTTTAATCATGCCCTCTGCTGATGTAAAGACCTCAGGGTGGGCCACAGGCCAGCTGCCCACTGGACTCAAGTGATGCTAAATTGGAACCGCAAGTCTTTGGGAAAGAAAAAGCTGATCTTCCTCCCCCAAAAGGGGCTTGCAGAGCAGTGAATGGAGGGGTGGATGGGGTGTCAGTCTCTCTCAGTATCGTCTTGTCTCACAGGGTCAATACAGCAGCACTTGGTGAAGTAGCCCATGCTCCAGCTGGTGCCACAGCAGGCTCAGGGACAGCAAGCCCAAGCGCCTACTCACCAGTGTTATAAAGGACAGACTCCAACGAAGGCGGGAGGCTGGCAGGTGCTACTGGGAGAGAATATGACAGAGAATAAATGATAAAACCACCTTACCCACCATTATTGGTTCATGTTAGTAGCCCCCCTATGTACTTGGGCACACTCAGGTCCTGCAAACCTCCTGCCCTACAGAAAGTTTCCAGACCCTCACTTGAGACACACCACATTGTCTTTCATGATAAGCAAGGACAGTAGGGAAAAGACTGAGGCTGCTCAGCAAGTTCCAAGCCCTCTCAACTGTGTCCTCATGCCGAATTTAAAATCAAAAGACAACACTTTAAAACATTGGCATTTCATTGCTGATTCTTTACTAAATAGCACAGAAAAGGGAGTAAGTTCAAGAACAGAAGGCAAAGGCTATGGCGCATGTGCCCAGGACAGAAGAGAGAGCAGCAGGGAGAATGTAGGGGTAGAGGCAGGACTGCTTTCTAGGGGATCACTAGTGAATACAGAACAGAACTTGGTGGTAACCATAGAATCATTTTGGTTGGAAAAGACCTTTAAGATCTTTGAGTTCAACCATAAACCTAACACCAACAAGGCCACCACTAAACCATGTCCCCAAGCACCACATCTACAGGTCTTTTAAATACCTCCAGGGATGGGGCCTCCACCACTGCCCTGGGCAGCCTGTTCCAATGCTTGACAACCCTTCAGGTGAAGAAATTTTTCCTAATATCCAACCTAAACCTTCCCTGGCACAACTTGAGGCCGTTTCCTCTTGTCCTGTTGCTTGCTGCTTGGGAGAAGAGACCAATCCTCACCTCACTACACCCTCCTTTCAGGTAGTTGTAGAGAGCAAGAAGGTCTCCCCCCAGTCTTCTCCAGGCTAGACAACCCCAATTCCCTCATCCGCTCCTCATCAGACTTGTTCTCTGTAACATGCACAGCTCATGTCCCAGCTGCAGGCCATCTCTGGCCCATGCTCCCAGTGAAATCTCCTCCTCAGCCCCTCATACCAGCAGCATAGCTGCAGCGTAAAACTTGTCCCACAGCGGCCTTCTGGGAGCTGTAGTCTGGCTGCAGCTTGGGGAACACTCCACTTCCATGCCAGAGCCCGCCAAGCCACCACACGGCCCCCAGCAGGGAGGGGACAGCGGCCAGCGGTGCCGCACTGGGCCCATGTTGAGTGGTACTGGACTCCCTGGTTTCAGGAAGGAAAGTGCATTTTGGACGCATGCGTGAAGCCGGGGCAGTGAGTTGTTTCTCCCCGTTGTGCACCCAGCTCCTGGTTTCCTTTCTTTTAGAAGCTGTGATTTTGCAAACAGGATGGCTATTGCTAGGCAAGCAGGGTGGGTTTTTGGAAATAAAGTTTCTCAGTTTTCATATGCCCAAGAGCATCCCCCCCCATTTGTCTTTTCTGTGTGTGGTGGTTTCACTTGGCTGGCAATTGGTGACAGCCAAACACAGCCGCTCGCTCACTCTCCCTGCCCCCACAGGGAACAGGGGAGAGAACTGGAGGGGGAAAGGTAAGGAGCCTCGTAGGTTGAGATAAGAACAATTTAATAACTGCAATAAAAGAAAACTTACAATAATAATTATATTAAAATAATAATAATGATAATAACAGTAATAATAGAATATGCAAATGAGTGATACACAGTGCTCATTACCCACTGACCAAGCCAGGCCCATTCTCAGACAATGGTCCTGGAGGAGTGACAATCCTGAAACTGAAACCACAAACCTGGAAAAGCAAGAGCTTGAGTGAAAGCCAGAGAGAGAGAGAAAGAGCCCCCCACAAGAAAGAGCCCCTCATTAATACACTGAACATGACATTATATGATATGCAATATCCCATTGGCCCATCCAAATGCCAGTCTAGTTTACTAATTTTAATATTCCTTCCCTCCAAGACCTTGCACCTGCAGACCAGCAAAACACAAAGTCCTTCAACTTCCAGTGACAATTCAAAACGTTGGTGAGTTATCAATGTTCTTCTCATAACAAATCTCAGGATGAAACCAAAACACAGCGCTAGTCTAGCTACTAAAACCAAACTGAGCTCGGTCCCAGATAAAAACCAGGACATTCTCACAGCAGGGTTAGCTCCACACCTAGATCAGGTTGCTCAGGACCTTGGCCACTCAGCTCAGTTCCTCAACATCTCCAAGGGGGAGATTCCCCATCCCCTCTGGGCACCTCTGCCAGTGCTGAACCACCCTCAGTGAGGAGGTTTCCCCTTCATCTAGTCAGAATTGCCCTTGTTGCCAATTTTGCAGCCATTTCACTGCACTTCTGTCAGAAGAGCTTGTCTCTCAACTTCTCTATAATCCCTCAGTCCCACCAGAAAATAGCTGAAGAGAGTAATTGGATCCCCCCTAAACTTTCTCTACTCCAGGCTGAAAGAATCAGCTCCTTCAGCCTCCCCTCGTATGCTACCGGCTCCACCACCCTTGCTATCTCACTTCCCCCCCCCAGACTCTGTCTGGTTTATCAGCATCTCCCTTGTGCTGTATTTCCATAAGAAGGCAACATCCCAACTGAGGCCTCTCATGTCGCAGGGTACTGCCTCTCCCCTGGTAGCACTGGAAAGCAGTGGGATGATGCAGCTGGAGAGACCCAAGGCAGCCTCTCATAGAAATCATAGAACGATAGAATGGTTAGGGTCAGAAAGGACCTTAA